CAGCAGACCAGTTTAAACAGGTTTATAATGGTGCTCTTTACCTGCAGTTGACCTTCTCCTTGTGTAACTTTTTTGGCTGGATCTGTGACTCAGACTGTTAGACACTATAGCTTAATGTCATTAAATGCTGTTGGGATCAACACTTACACCTCAGCCACTACATTGCAAACCAGAGAAAGTTGGCTGTTAGACATAAAGTTGCTCCAGCCAAGAATCTGTCGGGCTTTTCTCTTCATGCACCAAGTATCGCATAAGACAGGAAGACAAACAGAGGAGCCAATGAATCAAAGTATTAGCCCAGCTCTTAGACTGGCAAGAGAGCTTGAACACTGCAAGGCCCTCCTTGCTCCCCCCACCCCAAGGTCCCACAGCTGCTGGACACTGCCCTGTGGTTCTCCTGCCAAACAGGTGTCTCTGCCTCCCTGAGGGCTGCTAACAAATGACTGGTTGAGTTCAATTTGTGCAATGGAAACTGTTTCCATTACCAGCATAAGTGAAATCCATCCAAGCAACAGATTCTGGGATCCCAAAGCCCACATGTTTTCATAACCTATACTGACATAGCCTTAGCCTTTCCACTAAGTCAGTCAGGTCAATGATTTCTTTGTTCCTCAGCTCATGAAACACGAGTTGGCAAACATCACCTTCACTAGGGTAGGTGCCCCTCTAAACTCCTTGGTTTAGAGGCTTGAATTGAAAGCTCTGAGCATACGCGGGTTCAAGAGATTATTAGTGCAAGAGAACCATTGCAAAAAAGCATACACACACATTCCTTCCTTATGCATAATTTAAATACTGTCAACACTTCTTTCTTTGCAGTCTAGTAATTACTACATTAATCATTTTGCAAATCTGTTTGATGCAGAAGAACTGCATCATATTGTAACAATCTGACCATCCTAAGCTGAGGCTGCCAGAAGTTGATTAATTAACTGGACATTGTAACAGATTCTTAAATAACCTGCTATTTTAAGATTAGAACATTTACATGAGAAGACCAGGAAAGCCAGCTTAAGCTGTACTTCAGATTAAGCCCTATGTCAAGCATTCCTTTAACATGTTTAGAAACCAAGTCTGTGTTAGATGAATCAGCATCTCACTACATGACAGTTTTGACATTTTCTAGAGACACCAGTAAACCTATAATCACACGGTACACCACCTAGCACTATCCAACCTTGAAAGAAGGCTCAGTGGAGTCCTTCTGGGGAACCAACAGGCAGGGATGGATACAACTGTATCAGCAGAGACCAGACTAGCAAAATTCAGCAGTGAGAACAGACTCTTGGACACTTAAACTACAGTTCATGTTATCTACATTTGGGTTATACTGACTAGCAATCAATCAGTTTTGCTTATTTAGACAAGTAATTATCTGTATCACAGATGTGTTTTCCATAACAGCTGACAGTAGTTTATCCAGGTGTTAAACTTTACACTGCATTTGAATCTTGCTCTAGCACTAGTACAATCTGCTTCATTTTGGAGCTCAGATACCTTAATGAGCCATTTATACCTATGGTTTTGCTCCTGTGTGACTTGACTTAAGCTTTGTTATTCCATTCAAAAACTCTGAGTGGTTGTGCAAGCAATGCTTCATGTGAGAGTCATTATGCTCAAATTCCCAGAGTTATTCTAGGACCTTCTCCTAGATAGGCTTCTACAATCTCTCCCCAGATTAAAACTAACATTCAACTCAATACTTAAAAGCTTCTTTATTTTTTTTTCTTCTTAGACTTAGGCTTTAAAGACACCTTAAAAAAAAAAATCAGTTACATAACAAAGATCAATACTGCAAAAAAGAAGTGGAGGTGCAGTTCCAAAAAAACCCATAGTGTCTTCAAATATAAAAATATATATCCAAATTGTTATCTATGAAAAGTGTACCACCGTTTCTGCCCTTAGCTGGTCCTGCCAGCTTTTGGGTCATAACTCTCTGCTAGAGAGCTCAGGAGCTCATACTGGAAGGAGCATCACCAAGGTTCACATCACAGGCACAATTCATAGCAAACTGCTTCACTGCAGCACATGGACCCACCCTTAAGTTGCTTGAAGGCATTCCATAGTTTTGACTTGAGCAGGAGGTAAAAAGCATCCAAACATCTCCTGGGAAGCATATGTCATATACACAAAACCATCTTCATCTTTGTAGTCCCTGTACACTTCTGCCATTGTCAAGGACATGCTCGCTAGGCTTTTGTTGTTCACCAGCAGGTAGAAAGCCTGTGTAGCAGTTAGAGCCATCCTGCTTCTAGTTGAAGAAAAGAGGAGAAATAGAGGATTAAGCATAAGCAAGTTTAAGAAGGTTTCAATTTCAGTCTATGAAATATCTTAAGCAGAGCAGTTGCATCAACTACATACAAGAAAAGCTGTGTAAAGTCATTACGTGGTTTAAC